GCTGGTCCTCACGTCCCGCCGGCCGTCCGCAGGGAGGATCACGCTCCACGACCTGAAGGCCTGCAGGCTCGCCCACGTGTTCTTCGACACCTTCTTCAACGTGGAGAAGTACCTGGACCACGAGCAGAAAGAGCAGGTCTCCCTGCTCAGGGTGAGCGCGCGGGAACGAGCATGCGGGAGGACGAGGAGCGGGCGCGGGAGCAAGCACGCGGGAGCCGGGGAGCGGGAGCCCGGGAGGACAGGGGCCCGGGAGGACAGGGATAGGCGCGGGGCCGCCCTGCCTGACGTGGCGCTTCCCGCAGGAGAGCGAGAGCGAGGGCCCCGAGCTGTCCGACTGGGAGCGGTACGCCGCGGAGGAGTACGACATCCTGGTGGCTGAGGAGGCTGTGGGGGAGCCGTGGGAGGACGGGTAAGCTCGGGGACAGGGAGGAGGCTGGAGGGAGGAGGCCGACAGGGACGCGGGGGTGGTCGGCAGGCGGGACGGAGACACCTCCCCAAGTGTCGTGGGTTCAGGAGCCTGCAGGCCCAGGGCCCGCGGCTGTGGACGGGAGACACCTGCGCCCCTCCACCCTGCCGCTCCCTCGTCTGCCACTCTCCGGGAACAGCCCCGGCGGTGTTGCTGCCCCCGACCCACGGAGAGTGGGGACCTGCAGAGGCCCGAGGACTCGGAGCCTTCCTTGTCCCCGGGCACTCACCTCTCCCCCACTCACGACTGCCCTGCTGGCTGCCGAAACCTCATTCCGTCTGGACCCCCAGAGGTGTTCGTTCCGAGTCAGCCCCTCCCCCACCCGACTCCGCGAAGGGTCCTGACATGGCGTCTCCCAAGAGCTCCACCTGTTCTCTGAGGATGGGCCTGGCAGCAGATTGAGGGGCACAGTGCCTCCTGGGCAGAAGTCGCACACATCAGGGCGGCCAGGAGCCTCCCCAGCTCTCCTCTTCCCTGGACATGGCCACTCAGTGCCTGGTCTAGGGTGTGCGCCGCACAGGCAGGTATGGTCGGGAGTGGAACCCAGTCTGAGATTCCCCCCCTGCCTCTGGGGAGGGGGGCCTCCACACAGGGGTCTCAGTGTGGCAGCAGCATTGCTGCCTGTTCAGGGGTCCTCCGACTGCAACCCAGAGGGGTTTCAAAGTGACAGGAGGAAGAGTACTGCCTCACCCCAGACTCCTCCCCACTCCCAGCCCTTGGATATGTGGCTTGTTAGTTTCTGTTCCTGCTCCAGAGATTCTGTACCAGATCCAAGAGTTTCTATTCCAGGTCTGGAGTTTCTAGATTCAAGGTTTCTGTTTCTGGTCCTGAGTTTCTGTTCCTGGTCTAAGATATTCTGTTCCTGGTCCAGGAGGTTCTGTTCCTGGTCTGGAGTGTCTGTTCCAGGTCCAGAAGTTTCTGTTCTGGTCTCAGAGATTCTGTTCCTGGTTCAGGAGGTTCTGTTCCTGGTCTGGAGTTTCTGTTCCTGGTCCAGGAGATTCTGTTCCAGGTCTATAGTTTTTAGGTTCAGGGTTTCTGTTTCTGGTCCAGAGTTTCTGTTCCTGGTCTAAGGTATTCTGTTCTTGGTCCAGGAGTTTCTGTTCCTGGACCAGGAGATTCTGTTCCTGGTCCAGGAGATTCTGTTCCTGGTCTGGGAGTTTCTGTTCCTGGTCTGGGGTTTTCTTTTCCTGGCCCAGGACTTTCTGTTCCTGGTCCGGGAGATTCTGTTCCTGGTTCTGGAGTGTCTGTTCCTGGTCTGGGGTTTTCTTTTCCTGGTCCAGGAGTTTCTGTTTCAGGTCCAGGAGTTTCTCTTCTTGGCCAAGAGTTTCTGTTCCTGGTCTAAGAGGTTCTGTTCCTGGTTCAGGAGATTTTGTTCCTGGTCTGGGAGTTTCTGTTCCTGGTCCAGGAGATTCTGTTCCTGGTCCAGGAATTTCTGTTCCTGGTCCAGGAGGTTCTGTTCCTGGTCTGGA